TTTTTTTGTTTTGTTTTGTTTTGTTTTGTTTTGCGGTTTTTTTTTTTTTTTTTTTTTGGTTTTTTTTTTTTTTTTTTTTTTTTGCCACACTACTTATGGCAAGTGTTGTTATTACATGGGGTGGATCCATACATAAGTTTGTGCCTACACTCCACCTCTTGTGTGCCTAAACTAGAATCTCACCCAGGGTTGTAAGTTGAAAGCCAATAGCAGCGGTGGAGAGAGGCACGTGAGCATTCATAGAGTGACGTGTGCAATCTCGGGTAGCCTGGGGAATCCAAAAGCTCCTCAGCTGGCTTCAAGGCGCACAGTCTCTGCGTAAGCCACAAGGGTGCGCCCTCTGACGAGCTCAGGTCATGGCACGCAAGTACTTTTTCTTCGACTACGACTATTATGGCGTGAGCTTCTATGAGGAAGAAGTAACGACTGAATCTGAAAAAAGGGTGATCTGTGCAGCAAACAGTGGCAGCTTTGACAATCGAGTCATAGGCACCCTGAATAAGCCATACTTTGAGGGCCACCAGAGCTCTGTAGATAACCACCGCTATCAAGGCTATGACATGAATGACAACCAAGACACTGAGCAAAAAGAGCTGGAGGTGGCCAGGACTGTGGTAGGTGAACAGCCATCATTCAGGGTTCGTGAGAGACCATACAGATTCACGCCTGGACAGCTGTGGGAACTGCGGGCAGTCTTCGAAGAAACTCACTACCCAGATGCCCTCAGAAGGTGTGTATGAGGTCTGTCCTTCAGGACTTTGGGCTCCTTTCCCTCTCCTCTGACCTTTCCTCACTCTTGTTAAAAGTTTTTAATGTCTTTGAGATTCAGCATATAGACTCACCCACGCTAAGTATAGATTTACCCCTGAGGTAGAAGCTCCTCGAGGAGCTTCAGGGTAAAGAGCCTCCTCCATGGGCGCCACAGGAGTGCGCCCTCTAGCTAGCTCAGGCCATGATCTCACTCTGAGGAAGAAATAGCCATTGAACCTGAGCAAAGGGGTGATCTATACAGCAGCAGGCAGTGATGGCTTTTGCAAAGGAGTCTTGGGTTCCTTGAATGAGTGGCATTGTCAGGGCCACCAGAGCCCTGTAAGCGACCACGACATCTTTCTTTTTTTTTTTTTTAAGATTTATTTATTTATTATGTATTCAGCATGTATGACCAGAAGAGGGCACCAGACCTTATTACAGATGGTTGTGAGCCACCATGTGGTTGCTGGGAATTGAACTCAGGACCTCTGGAAAAGCAGTCAGTGCTCTTAACCTCTGAGCCATCTCTCCAGCCCTCTGAACAGGTTTTTTATTTTTTATCTTTTATTTTTTGGTTTTTCGAGACAAGGTTTCTCTGCGTAGCTTTGCGCCTTTCCTGGAGCTCACTTGGTAGCCCAGGCTGGCCTCGAACTCACAGAGATCCACCTGGCTCTGCTTCCCGAGTGCTGGTATTAAAGGCGTGCACCACCACCACCCTGACATCTTTTTTAGTTTTGTTAAACCGGGGTCTGAGTTGTACAGGCTCGCCTTGAACCAACCATGACGTATCTTCATGGTCAAATGTCTTTACGAAGGTCTTCTTCTTCTTCGGCCAGGCAGTGGTGGCACAGGCCTTTAATCTCAGCACTCGGGAGGCAGAGCCAGGCAGATCTCTGTGAGTTCGAGGCCAGCCTGGTCTACAGAGTGAGATCCAGGGCAGGCACCAAAACTACACAGAAACCTTGTCTTGAAAGAAAAAAAAAAGTCATCTTCTCCCCTCTAAGTCTGGGTATGTTTTGAAGTGAGTTATCGATGTTCAAATATGCTGTCTGACTGCATAATGTTTTCTTCTCAGGATCATTTCTTTCAATACACAGAAACGTTAAAATTTATTAAACATTCATATTTATCTATTTTATGTGTATTGCCTTGTGGGGCCTGCTTTTTGTACATAAAATTTTTCAGAGATCAAATGTTGAGAGAATGAAGACTTCCGTGCCCCTACAAACATATACCATTCTGGCAGTCAGTTTGTGTAGTTAGCTGTACCTAGTGGCACAGCTCTGTAATCTCAGCCACATGAAAGGTAGATCCAAGAAGATGGAAACTTCCAGGTTTATCGGGGCTCAGGAGGATGCTCAAGGCTAGCATGAGCAGCTTACTGTGATTCAGTCTCAAAATAAGACTGAAAAAATACAAATATAAATATAAAAACACATACAACTCAGTGGGAGACCCCTTGCCTAGCATATCTGGGACTGCAGTAAAATTCCTAATGCCATAAAAACTGTGTAATTTGTATGTGGCACATTTAGGCATTTGTTTCTTTAAGAGTACATTAATAATGCTAGACCACACAGCAATAAAAGCAGTCTTTAACTTTCAGACAAGGTAAAAACCACTTCTTTTTTTCTCTCTCTCATATATTACATCACTACCATAGTTTCCCCTCCCTCCACTCCTCTCCTACCCCCCCACACACCCCTTCTCCCCAAAATGCACCACTCCTCCATTTCCCTTCAAACCACTTCTAAATAAATCTCCTTCTAAGGATTGCTGAAAAGTCTACTTGTAGAGGTGTGATGAAGATAGTATTTTTTAAAAATTTTATAAAAATTACTTTTCTGTAGCCGTAAGTTTTCTCCAGTCCCACCTGGCCCAGTAGTCCCACAGCCACTTATAAAATAATCACTCAGAGGTTTAATATTATTTACAGACTGTATAGCCTGTGGCAGGCCTCTTGCTAGCTAGCTCTTATATCTTAAATTAACCCATTTCTAATAATCTATGTTTTGTCACGTGTTCTGTGGCTTTACCATTCTGTTGGCATGTTGCTCTTGAGGTGGCAGGCTGGTGTCTCCCCAGACTCTGCCTTTTTCCTGTCTCTCTCCTTGGAATTCCCACCTGCCTCTAAGCTGCCTTGCTATAGGCCAAAGCAGCTAATATATTAACTGATGGGAGCAGCATATATTCACAGCATACAGAAAAACATCCTTCAGCACTTCCTCTTTTATACCTAATCAAAAAGGAAAGTTTTATCTTTAATATAGTAAAATCATATATAACAAACAGTTATGAAGCAAGAATTACATTTACAGTATCTAGTCTATTTGTATTTGGCAAAACTAAAGAAAATACTCTATCATCTATCTTATTTCTGTGAGTCAAAATTTTCATATCTAATTTATCTTTTATCATAACCAAGGAAAATTATAATTGTGACTATCTAGTCTTCAACTACATCAAAGACCCCAGAAGGATATAACATTACCTAAGTAAACAGGACGTGCTTTGTAAGCAGCTTCCTAAATTCTGGAAATGACAGAGACAGCTGGCTGCCTGGACAGTCACCCAAAGTTCCTCTGCAATGTTGGGGCATCCATTCTTTAGCCTACAGGCCTCGAGTCTGTCAGTTGCTTCTCCCTGTGTCCTGCAGAATATCTGACAGTCTCCTCTGAGAAGGAGGAAACTGAAGTACCATCTTGCCTTGTTTTGGCAAAATTTAGTGATCATTTTTCCATGAGTCCTGCATGTTCAGTTGATATAAAATTTTGTCAAGCAGTACAGGCAGGCAACAACAGTTTCTTGCACAAATAGCTAACTTTTGCCATATGGAATGCAAACTCCATATGGAATTTCTTCAATGCCCATCATCTTTTTTGAAGTAAATTGGTGCTGTCAGGAGAAGATGTATCTCATTGTCCAGAAAGTCTAAGTTTTTAAAACATTTTAAATGCCATATTCTGGAGGTCTTTGAAGTCTTTGAAGATTACCTATCTGAAATGTATCTCTACATATCTAGAAAACATAATTAATATGACTATAAGTTTGACTATTATAAATGACTATTAATTTGTATTTTTTAATTACATATTACATTTTAAATGAGCTGCATAAGCATAATACCCTAAACAAGAGTAAAAATACACATGCAGTATAACAAAATTAACTTTAAATTTTTATCAATAAACTAAAATCCATAGCAATGTAAAACATTTCAAATAAGTTGTTGCTCTTTAAAAGTAGGTTCAATAATGTATCCTTTCATCCTATCATATCTATATCCCCTTTTCTTCTTTAGAAAGAGGTTGCATTTATAATCAACCTCCTTTAAATAAAATAAACATTTATAAACAATATTTTGGGAATTTGGGCATACTTCTCATACTACTTCCTGCTGATTGAGGACACTGGTAATCTTATGGGGATACTGAGAAAATTAAGAATTATAGTTAAATCTTGGCTGTAGTAGTCTGTGAGGCTGTATTGACCTTTCAGGGGGTCTCGGATGATCAAAGCATATTAGCCTGGAAGCAATCCACAGGTTGTCATCTTCTGTGGAAACAAAAGCAGAACCTCTTTTCCAAAGCAATGTATCTTTAGACACAAATTTTGAAGTCAAGATATCTTTAAAATATACATATTGGTTTAAATCAGCAGCCTTACAATCAAATGTCTTTCTGCAGTTAAAAAAATCCCAAAGATAGTATAATCCAGACTCTCTGTGTAATTTCCATCTTTATGTGGATTAATTTTTATACTACTTTTCTGTCTCTTTAAAGACTTTATTTTTTTAATTATCTATTTCTTTATATAACTGTCTATCCTCCTTTTCCTCTCTCTTCTAAGCCTACGTACATTTTTACACACACTGTAAACTGTTTAGAGGTTTATTCCATCTGAATCTGTCTTTTGTGTATTTATAAACCTTCTCTGAACAGAAGACATGTTCAATTGATAAACTGTGTGGCTAGGACAAAAAGTAGCAGCCTTGGCTGTTGACTCTGCCCATTTCAGCTTCCCAACATGGAGGAGGTACCCAGGAGAGTCACATTTACCTTGTTAACTCTGGGGTCCATGCTGCTATCGGGTAGCATGCAGCTGGCCCATAAACCCTTCTTGTCTGTATGACTAAAGGTTAAATCCACCATGCAGCATGCTGTGCAGCTTGGATATGCCACTGTGTAGCAAAGTGGGAATCCGCCAAGCTGTGCTCAAGCTCACGTACTGCGGCATCTCTGTACCTTGGCACCCCTATATCTTGGCCCACATGAGACATGAAGTAGGAAGCTGTTTTGGACTCTGATTTAGAATCTCTTATTAAGTTCTCTCAGGTTTTAGGTGGAAACTTGAGCCAACACTTTGGGTAGCCAAATGTAGCCATAAGTTTTCTTCAGTCCTGCCTGGTCCCATGGTCTAGTAGCTACTTATAAAATAATCACTCAGAGGCTTAATATCATTTACAAGTTGTATGGCCTTGCCATTGGCCAAAGCAGCTTATTTATTTATGAAAACAACATATATTCACAGTGTACACAGAAAGACAGCACTTTTCATACAATATATTTTAATCCTAGTCTTCCTCTCTCCCAACTCTTCCAATATCCTCCCTATCCATTCAACTTCATGAATTTTCACTTTCTCAAAAAAAGAAGACAAAACAAAACAGGAAAAACAACAAAACCGAAACCCACATCAAAGCAAACAAACTTAAAAAAAGAAAACAAGACAAAAAATAACAAAACAAAGCAACACACACACACACACACACACACACACACACACACACACACACACACACACACGAAACAAAACAAAGTATCTTTTGTGTTGGCCAACTACTCCTGGACATGGGACCTGCCCTGGAGTGTTGTGCTGATGATGGTGTCCTTTGCCATACAGAAGCTTTTCAGTTTCATGAGGTCCTATTTATTAACTTTTAGTTTTATGGCCTGTGCTATCCATGTCCTGTTCAGAAAG